TTAATATTTTGGACGCCGAGTTAGTTATATTATTAATACATTGTTATATGTTCATGTCAGGTTCCATCATCACTTAAGGTATGATATATTATTTGCCACCGGCAGGCTTTGGTTGCTTTTCTTTAAAACAACTCGAACGTAACGGCGAGTTGTCGTATAATCTTGACGAAAATGTAAATTGGAAACTACTATCATTTTGTAGGACTTAAAATTGGGACGAACATTTAATATGTGTTACAAAGTTTTGAATTTCTTTCATATTCTATTAAAATGAGACGGAAACAATGACCAAAAATATTTTGTTCGCTGCTATTGTTTTTCTTTCTCTAAGAGTCCCTACTTTAATCTAATAATATACGTACGTAAATCATTACTTTGCCATCCTTTGTTAAAGTTAAATCTCAAAACTTTGTTTTATTAATCAGTTGAAATTAGAGGCAGTGATAATAGTCATTTGTGCATTAATTACAAAGTTTTCTTTTTTAATTATTCGAGTTAAAACGAACAACTGTACACAATAAAACGCAAAGGAAGCACAATATAAGCTGAATGAGTATCATAAAAAAAATACTTTTATCAGTATTGATTGAATGATTGATTTATTGATTGATAAAATATTCTTATAATTATTAACGTGTCTCCATAGAAAGTGTTGTTTGCTTGTTTGTTTAGATGTTTTTATATAATTATTCAGAAGCTAGAAATTTTTTTAGCACAACAGTTCTTTTGTTGTACATTTTCTATTTCTGTTTTTTCTTTGCTAATCATTGAAAATGTCTCTGAATTAAACATTTTACCATTTTTTGATAAATGTTGATTTCTGCTAAGGCCAGTGCTATGTGGCTTGAACAGTAACTTGCTTTTGGTGGAAGAGTCCATGGACAGGCTCGATCAAACCGAACATGAATTTTCCGACGCTGATTAATCACGAAAAAATATGTAAGATTGGTAGTCGGTCAATTTCAGAGAGAGGTGGTAAAGTATCAGTACTGTAATTTTCTTTTGCAAGTGAAAGGCTACCAATCTCGAATAATTTTTGTGATCAATCAGCGTCGTTATATGAATAATCATTAGACTTAATATCCAAGTTCAGTTGTTCTAGAGAAATTTTGCCTCGCTCAGAGATCGAACAAGCGACCGCAAGGCTCCCTCTGTTGACCTTTGAGGACAGGCCGTCGCCACAGACAGAAATATCCGGTTATTGGTTAACTGCTTGTTATCTAAGCAGACCCTCTTACAAAGTACAAACACTAATCCGCGAGATAGAAGAGATGTTATTATTTATGCCACTGTTTAACAAGTGTTGTTGTTTCTAAACTTGTGTATTTGCCTTTCTTTTTATTATAGAAAATGCGATTTGGCATTGCTTTTAAATTGTCTAGCATCAAACTGTTCCCCACAGTTCGATAAACGAATTGCATTTTCATTGTAAACAATCCTAAGATTTATTTAACATTTTCTCCGTTTTAATATTGCCAAACATTGAATCGATGTTTCGTCGAGTCATAGCCTATGACAAATCAATTATGTGATGTTTTCCCAACTATTCACATTTGCTGACAGACAAATATTACTTTTGAAGGGAGAATCAGGAAACTTTATTAAAATATGTTGTTGTTTATTTGTTCAGATATATCCAATTTATATACAGCTTCAATCAAACCGTATGATACCACGATACGTTATGCAAAAATGTAAATTGTGAATTTAACGTTTTTGCTTCAATTGTGTCTCGTTGTTATGGACTTCATTTGCAACCCTTCAATCTCATAATATGTATTTCTTGTATGCAGATTTGAAAAAAAAGATTTTCCCGTGGCTTGTTACGTATTATTTTTATTGAAGTAAGCATAAGTATATACGCCTATGTTTCGATCATTAAGCACAGGCTATTCGATAGAATACCCTTAGGTTACCTTCACTAATTTTCTTTTATTCGATAGCTCTTTTTATTCAAGAAAACGCACATTAACTATGAGGCCAACAATTAAATCACTTAGACGTTTATCCTAAAATGTTAGTATATATAAGCATTACCAATCAGTAACTTCTTTATTTGGGAAACATAGAGTTTATTATTGACTGATTTCCAGACTGACCACGTTCCATACTTTATTGGTAATGCTTTTGTCAATGCTTTGGATAATCGGCGAAGTGTAAAAGATTTATGGGAAAAACACTAGGAGAACAGTTTGATTAATAGATATATCGGATGACAAAATGCAATAACATGTGATACCAATAGAGTGTGAGGCGTTAAGAAAGTAAACAATAATATCGAACGGCACAGTCCGTAGGGTGTGCCCTACTTTATGTATCAAGTTTTTATTCCAATTGAATGATAATTGAAATCTGTGAAGAACATATTTCTCGCAGCATTATATCACATATGTTGTGTCATTTGTATTATTAAAACTTCTTAATGTAAATAAAATGTATGGACAGTTATATTCTTAAAAAACTTTCTAATGGTTATACACTTTATTTTAATGTATACGATTGAACCTTTCAAAGCAGATATTTTTATTTTACATCATGCTGCAAATTTGTATCATACTGTTTTATTGATAATATTTATTAAAAAATAACAGTTTTTTTTTATTATTCCTTCCGTATTAAATGAATATGATTTCGTTTGTAAATAAAATCAAGTATCAAAATCTGTGTCCCATTTTAATGGAAAAAATGGCATTGGGTTTTAGTATTGCTTTATCTTTATTTCATTTTTTTTTTCATAATCCCCGCCCTTCTATTTCTTCTTTTTTTATTGTTTCCCTGCCAAAATGAAGAAAAGATACATTGATATATTTGTACAAGCACTTTTAGTCAGTAATTTATACTTCATACTTTAGGTTGTGATTACTTCACTCAACCTCTCCAAGAAACAATTCTTTCTACCCTGGAACTATGTCGGACGAAATTAGATTTTTTGAGATAAATGGATGACAAATGAATTGGTTAAATAATTGTCCATCTAGTACAACATGTTTCTTTAATCGAAATTTTAGATAGTGTACTCACGGATTGTCTACGGTTATGTCCAGAGATAGATTTAAACGCAATAAAGGCTATCTTTGATCAATAAATAATTATATTTCATAGTGTACGGTTTTCCTAGTGTATAATTATTTAACTTACGGGGTTTATTGTTGTACCTACTAAATTTGGAACATTATCTGTAATTAGCTTATTTTCCCGTATTGTGTTTCTAAAGTACTTGTTCTTGCTTATGTCTGTTAAGTAGCAAAATCTATTAAACAGTGTAATACAAATCATTTGGAACGTTATCAGGAAAAATTCATCTGGTTACATTTAGCGACAATGTGGATATGTATGGTTATTTCAGAATTTCTTTTATCCCCATATAGATGAAAAAAGCAGCAAATGCATTGTAAATATCACAGCATGAAATATTGAACGGTGGTACTGAATATGTATGTATAATATTTCAAAATAATAAACGTTTCTACAAGAAAATAGATATGAGATATATGTTGCAAATATAACGTTCAATTCATAATGCATATCGATAATGCCACATTTTTTTTTTCAATTTTGAAACCGCCTATTATTTTATGACATAAAAGAAAAATGAAAAAAAAAAGAAAAAACAGTTCAACGTAATTATGATTTTGGATATCAATTTTGGCATCTAGTGTTGCATATTTTTAAATTCTTAAACCATTGCGTGATTATATTACTTTCTTAAGAAAAAAATAACCTAGCGGCTTTGACAAATTTTCTCCCTAATGTCGTTTTTTATCTCTAAAATATTATCACTACGGCTAATGACATGTTCTTTTTCCCAGAGCAAAATAAAAAATCATCTTCAGATTCTTGATAGAAACCCGTTAACTTCCCTGCATTTGCTTTGGAATAATTCTTCATTAATCCTACAAAATCTCATTATTTAGAATATTTCCTAGCACAAAGTGCATTGATTTCAGATAAAAGTGTTTGCTCAGTTGCTAACTGGTCGATTTAAGACAAAATTAACAACGTTACAGGGTTCTGTAAACAAAACAGTCTTGATTCTTTTGAGACGTGTTGCTCCGTATTGCAATGTATGACTTTCAACAAGAAATAGGAATGAGAAGAAAACGCAAGTATTTTCGTTAACTTAAGGATGTATTGGTTTGTTTTGTTTTTTTCGTTTTTTGTTTTTTTTGTTGTTTTATTTTTTTTTTTTTTTTTTTTTTGGGGGGGGGGGCGTATTTTATTTTGTTTCTGTTTAATTATTGTAATCTGTCATTTAAGGGTAAGCACAAGTTTTATAGTCGACACAACCGTTTTTTCTTTCCTAATTTTAACGTGTTGATATTCTATACCAAACATTGTTCTATATTAACAAATTGCCTCATACTAAATTAAAAAAGTACACATTTCGATTTATCTTACAAGTGAACATTTCAGTAGTTTGCTTCGAAGCTCAATTACATAGTCAAAAACTCATATTCTTACATAATGATGTTAATATTTTATTACTTTTGTAACTTTGTCCCTTATAACTTATATACAAGAAATAATATATACAAGAAATAAGTTATCTTAATATAGTTTATCAACTTTGATAAAGACTGACACAGACAATATTAGACTAAGAGTGCATTTCTCTCTCAATTTATGACGACTGCTTTCCAGTCACATTTGCCATATTTTGCAATTTCATAAATCTATTTTCCAAAAAAACACTTAACTTTCGATATGCATCAGTTTTGATACTCTTGTCATCTTTTATGGGAGATCTTACTTTAATATGCACCAAGAAGGCAATGCACTTCTTTTAATCTATGGCTGACAGTTCACGTGCTGTTTTCAACATTAAATACAAGAGAACCACATTTTAATTTGTTTCAATAATCATAATTACTTTCAAACATAACACAAAGAAGAAAAGATAATAGATGCATGTACACATAAAAAGGTAAAGGAACGCTAATGATACAGGATACATTTGAAGAAAAAATATTGCTTGACGGAATGTGTATTATATATTTCAGTGTATGCCTGGTCTAGGGACGAAGGTGTTGTACGAGCTATTGTATAACCAGCCAAAGAAGGTGATTGTGTTGACTGGTTGTAGCATAGTGTCAACCTTTGTTGCACAGGCGGCAAAAATGTGGCATCTTATTGTTGTAAGTATACAATTGTACGATAAACATTCAATGCGTTGCTACTAAACTTCATATATAGGCGAGAACAAAACTCAAATTCCGTATACGAACATATTTGGATAAACATATAATATCTTTAGGAATACTTTTGAAATTTGCTATTTCCTCTTTTATTTTTTTTGTACAGATACAGACTTAAAATTCGACAACACTTACTCACAAATCAGTTTTTAAGCTAAAATGTCAGTAAAATGCACTTTTTACTTGTTTTCCCATTTTTATAAACAATTATCTTTAACTTTTTCCTTTTTAATATTTGCATTTGATAATTATATGTCAATGGATTTCATAGCATTAAATTCAATAAACATAACTGCCGGGCATTTTGCATAAAAACATATCTTATATATTTTCAAATGTTATTAAAACAACGCAATCAAACCATTTTTCAAACTTTTTAAAATATGTCCTATTGTTACAATACCTGATTATGACCATAACATTGTTCGTACTATGTACTTATAAAAAAACTGTCGAGAAAAGAAATGGAACCAATTCCAAATTAATAAATCTATAAATACTATTCACGAAGAACATATTGAAATATATTGAAAGTCACATCTTTAAAATGCCTTGTAATTATCGTTATAGCTAGCATATGGTTCCAGCTCTCCAGCGCTGTCAAACAGAGACAGATTTCCGACATTCTTCCGTACACATCCTTCCGCCACATTACATAATCCGACACGAGTCAAGATATTTCAACTCTTTGAATGGAAAAGGATTGCTACCATTCAAGAAACGCAAGAAGTGTTCACATCGGTAATATTTCCTGAGATGATATCAGTTATTTCATGATACGAATAATTTAAGTTATTGTGTGAACAAATCATGTACCTGTTTCTGAGTAGTACCATTTAAAAGATTGTGCTATGATTTGTTTAGACAGATTAATACATATTTGAGCCACGTCACGACAAAACCAACATAGTGCGTTTGAGACCAGCATGGATCCAGACCAGCCTGCGCATCCGCGAGGTCTGATCAGGACCCATGCTGTTCGCTTACCAACTCTATTACAAGTGGAGAAACAGACAGTGAACAGCATGGATCCTATTCAGACCTCGCGGATGCGCAGGCTGGTCTGGATCCATGCTGGTCGCAAACGCACTATGTTGGTTTTTGTCGTAACGCGGCTCATTTAATGTTTAAAGTTGTCTTAAAATGTTTATATTTTTAATGCGGAAGGCTAGGATAAAGCAGGTTTTCGGGGCTATATATAAATCTTATCTAGCAATGCAATTATCACAAAATTTTAATGCGATTTATTCAATACTTTAAGATACACTTTTAAACAATCGCTGTATAATTGTTTAAGATATATGCCACATTTGTGCGTTGCATACATGTAGTTCAAAGTTAATTAAACATTACTGTTACAGCAATCTGTAATATTTGACAGTTACAATGTGTTCTTTAATTGTAGAACAAAGCCGATATTATTATTCTCCCCAACTTGCAGTTTTTCACCCGTTAAAAACATAACATTACGCTTTGCGACAAATGTATTGGTGAATTGATCCAAGGAAATAACAGACTGTTAATTTATTATGTTATCAACAAAATGACATTTCCAGGAATGTGGTATAATTACCACAAAATGATATGAGACACTGAGATATTTGATCGCTTTAAAGTACATACACATGTGTTGTTTTCCTCAAAGTCAACATATCCTGGTAGTAAACACTCCAATTAGATTAATTTGAATCGATGCGAATTAAATTATCTTCGCAATATCTTATTGTTTAAGCTTAATAATCACTTTGTAGCGAACTCTTTAGCACACTTCGCTAAGCTGAACATTGAATTGAATATAACTTTTAAACATATGCTCTACATTTTATATTTACTTTTTTTTTTGGTTCATACTTTGATGCAATTGCGTTTTAAGGAATTTTCTCAAAAGGTATTAAACACAAAAACTTTATTGAATTAATTTCAAATTGTAATTTCGTCGTGGATTGTCGTCGTGATAACTGTAATTTATATGTTCTTGTTCAGATATTAACAAATTATTGACATACGTATATTATTTCATTATCATGACAAGATAATTATAATTAATCATTACAGACTGTTGAGGATCTAGAGGAACGGGTTAAAGCAGCAGGTATAGAAGTTGCTGTCCGGCAAAACTTTCTAACTGACCCTACAAACGCTGTTCGAAACCTAAAGGTATGTTGAACGAGACATATTATGCTTCAGGATTATTTTTAAATAATTTAAGAGGAGACAAACTTGTGTTTAATTATATGATGTTTGAATAATTGGACGTAAATCATACCAGATGCTCAACAACATGTTTAGGAAAGGTAGAATGTAAAACATTTTGTCACGGCAAGAAAATGTGAACACAATTTCCTTTAACTCATACGAAATACATATGTATCATTATTGTACATACTGCAAACTAGCAAAAGCAATACAGATGTTTCTCCTATGTCTCCATAAGTATGAGGATCCTAATAATAAATCTGAATATCACTTACTATGAGTTGAGAAATAGCATTATATGGACTTAATGTTCACTTGAAATAAAAGAAATCGAGATTGGAAAATAAAACAAGTTTAATTCAATAGTGCACTGTATGTAAATAGTTGAACGTTGCTAACTTTATCGATATTTGATTATTTAGATGATATCAAGAAATATAACATAAATTGAAAACATATATTCGCATTTTGATATAAACTTTTTTCAGAGACAAGATGCAAGGATCATAGTTGGTGTATTTTATGAGGATATGGCAAGACGTGTTTTCTGTCAGGTACGTTACATACATACTTTTAAACTAAGTTGGTCACAAACAAAGCCAATATAGGTCATTTGTATAGATCTTGCTGAATGTAATTGAGCACGCATTATCACTGTGTGTGTTTTTTTTATTTTAAAATGTGTGTGTGTTCTCACGTACTAATTAATTTGTTTTAAATTAAATATTATTTTGTTATGTTACTGATGTATAAAATACATTTTATAGGCATACAAGGAAAAGCTGTACGGAAAGAAATACGTTTGGTTCATAATTGGTTGGTATCCCAATAATTGGTACAAAGTGGATGATCCAAGTATTAACTGTACATCAGAGCAACTGAAAGAGGCACTTGAAGGACATATCACAACAGAAGCTGTTATTCTCCACCAGGAAAAGACGAAAACAGATACAAACATGGTATTTCCGTATACGCAATACGATTTTTATCAGTCTATACTGCATACAAATTGTAATTATAAGAACGACTGTAGGTAAATTGAAGGCATTTATAAAAACATAATATAGATAATGTTATTGTTGCTTAACTTAAGACTTGTGTTTATTTTTCACAATTACAAGTCAGACTTATATATTTACCTTCTGTTAAAATGCTTACAATAAAATCTTTAGTTAGGCTAAGGTATATACCGTTTACAAATTACACTGTGTTGACTATGAGTTTCTTGAAAATGTAAACGTTCTCTTTCTTAAGTATATGTGTTATAAATTCTATTAGACAGCCCAACAATTTAAGGAACGCTTAGACGAGAGGTTAAATGTTTCGGACACAAGCCAAGTTGGAGGTTACCCTGAAGCACCGTTGGCATATGATGCCGTATGGGCGCTTGCGATTGCTCTAAATACCACATCAGAGAGGTAAATACTTATAACAGAAAAAAAGATGTATTATGGCTGTATATCTTGTATGATTCAAACTCTCTTTGTTTTGTGAAAAGATATATATCATTGATATGACATTCATGGCCGAATGGTTAGAGGTGTGAGTTTCAAACCGCTTGCCCTTACCACTGTTGGATATTATCCTGTAATAGCCTTGGTTATTTTCAAGTGAGCTAGCTTATGATATATCGATGTTTATTTTCCAAATGTTCCTGTAAGTGCCTAAATAATGTACGGAGAGGCACCTTGAGTGCTCTTCCGCCACTTCAGTTGCAATGTCGCCACACAACCTTTTCAGTGATTGTGTAACGTAAAGCCCAACCAAAGTAAATCTCGTTGGTATAAATATGAAAACATGTACGCATTTTCTATGAAGAAAATATATTTAGTTTTATGGTTTAGGTTTAAGAATTATATGAAGTTTCTGTTTTCATTTCGAGTCTTTTTTAAGAAAAATTAACATTAATGTCTAAAAAATGACAAGGGATTATTAAAGTGTTATATGTTGCATATTCGTGACAGGCTGTTTTCGGACTTGAAACGTTTTCTTTTGCAGACTAAGAGACAGAGGTCTGAATATCGAGGACTTTAATTACTCAAACTCTGAGATTACTGACGAAATTTATTCTGCAATGAATTCAACTAAATTTGTGGGCGTATCGGTAAGAAATGAAATTTCACATATTAAACAGTCACGTGATTTAATTGTTGTTTAAATCACCCAAACGTGGAATTATTCGATACTAATATCTGATTAAAAACCCCAATTTTGAAGTTCATAAATGTTTAAAACAAATTATAATAAAAGATAACGGACTATACGAAATTCTCAGCTTTTGTTTATAATTTATTCAATACATTTTCAGGGTAACGTGGCATTTTCATCTCAAGGTGACAGAATAGCCTGGACCAAAATTGAACAGCTTATTAGTAAATATAATTTGCTTGTTTTGTATCGATAGTGCATATTCAAATTAACTTTCAATATTCAGATTGGTTATATGTTCATACTCACAAACTAGCTCTTCTTCATGCATGTGACATAATAGTCCATCTTAGTAACCTATGACGTGCTTTATTTTGATTTGACAGTCAACATACGTTAAAATGCTAACATCATGATAATTATTGACATCTTGGGAGTCTTTTTGACATTATTTATCTTTTATGTACTAGATGGGACATATTATACACTTGGATATTACGATCAAAATTCAGACAATCTCACCTGGCTGCATAAGGAAAGATGGACAGGTATATTCTTCTTCTTTGCAATTTGCTATATATATAAGACAAAATACGACACATGCTTTCAGAGCCATGCTTATTGTCATGAAAATTTTGAAACTGTATTTAAAACACATATTGAGAAATGAACAGAAAAATAAATCTACCAATTGCAAACGGCGTAAAAAGCAAATGGCGTGAAAAATAAAAACACACACAATCATACAACAACATATAGGGTCAGAAATCCAAAAATTCCCTTACTGCGTAAGTCACGTTGTAGAAATATGCACAGGCAGTCATTTTTTTTTGCAAAGAGCATGTACATTATTATTTGAATCTTGAATATTTAACTATTCTAAAATATTAGAACATTTTCTCAACTTCAATTTTCTTGAAATATTTAAACTCATCTGGAGGCATGCAAGTTTAATAATAAATAATTAAAGTAAATTATCGGTGGTCCTGAAAATAAGATTAAAAGTTGAAAAGTGCAATTAAGAAATAACAATAAACAACAGATAATCGAAACCTTTTAATTTGAAGGTGGTCATCCGCCCCCAGACCGAACAAAACAGATGCCAGTTTTAAGAGTTGTTTCCCTCGGTTTGTTTTTGTCGATGTGTGGATTGTCTACCTTTGGTATTATTGCTGGTGTTGCTTGTCTGATATTTAATATAATCAACAGTAATCGCAGGTAATTTAAAATAATATTTATCGCTTATGACCAATACGATTAAGTTAAATGTTACTCAGTAAACATAAAATCATTTTTTGTTTATCAAATATGTCATATAACTCATATAGATGCTAGTTATGACTGATGGTGTTAATCTTGTAGAAATATTTGATTTCAATAAGTCCAACCACGCTTTAGTCTTAGTGTGATACAACAATTGTCTTTTTATTAAAACAAAAATGAGCATTCAGATTTACACAGACGAGACCATCGAAATAATGATGTATTGATCGAGTGAATTACTCCGGAAGATAATATTTACAACCAAAATAAATATTATTGTTTTGTTATTATTAAAAGTAGCACTTAATCATGCCGATTGCTGTTTGACATTAATATATATTTTTTATTTTAGGTGTATCTTACATTCTCATCCAAACATGAACAGTATTGTTGTTCTCGGTTGTATACTTTGCCTTTTATGCGTCTTCCTCCTTGGTCTAGACAGTCGTTTTGTAGCAGAAGAAACATATCCTTTAATTTGCCAGGTAGCTACATCTTATAATTAACATCTTTTATATCTTGTCGAGCCATCTAATTTGTAGATTTTAGCAGCGTAAGAGCATTTTAGCTATAATTAAGTAGTTTTATTTTTGTCGACGACAAACTTTCAAATGTATTATTGCCAGCCGGTGATTTTTGCAAGGGGACGTTTCATTTGACTGTTGTTCTATGGTTGATGAACATAGACATATAATTAAAAATTCAAATTCATATTTCTTTTGATCATAAAAATATGCATATGGTGTATGACAAGATTTTTACTAATTTCAGATTTTGAAATAAATGCATTTTTCTCACTAAATTAAGTACAGTACTAGGTTGTTTTAAACAAACATTCCTTCTATTAATAATATAATAATGGTAATTGGACAAAAATGTTAATTTCACATATTTATTTAATGAGGAGACTTAATATGTTGCAAATGGGTGTTACGTTACAGTTGTGTGATACACTGCATGATGTTTATTTTAGCTTCGGGCATGGATATTATCGCTTGGATTTTCTCTTGCATATGGTGGAATGTTTTCTAAAATTTGGACAGTACATAGGCTAACTACGTCAAGCCGACAGAAAAATAAAAAGGTGGATTTTTTGTCATAATTCAGTAGCTTATAAATATTAATAAGACGTGTTTACATTATTGTAGACAATTTATTTTCAACGTTATATGACATATATGCAACCGTATATGTTACTGTGTAATACTTTATATAATTCCAACTATGTTTATAATGGTGTATTTTATCGCTATATACGCGCAATAGCACAGCACTATTTTCTGTAAGACTTTGATCAGATACATAATTATAAATAATCTAAGCATACTCATGAATTAAAATGTCCATAACAGACACGATAATAACAATCTTGCATTATCGAAATTTTGAAATGTGAAGATCAAGATGTGATTATAGTATAATATTGGAGGAAGAATGATAAATCATGATTTAAGATTATTGGGTATTATTTGGTTATTATGAAATGAATAATGATGTTTCTCTTGTAAACATAAATTGATAACTTTATAAAACAATATTATATCACTCTTATCTTAACAGGAGGTGAAAAACTGTGAAATGTATGTTGTATTAACAGCAATTATTTTGATCGACCTGATAATATTATCGACATGGCAAGCTATAGATCCGATGTATCGTTCATTAGAAATGTTTGACCTTGAACCTGCTCCTTCCACAGATCAGGATATAATGTATAAGCCATACTTAGAACATTGTGATTCCAATAACATTTCTATCTGGCTAGGTAATCAATTTAATTTCATTTGTATTGATGGCTTGGTTCTCATTATATAATTTTCTTAACAGGAATATTTCCTGTTTGTGTTCGTGAAGATTGTAAGTCATGTCGACATCGTTAACGGTCATACGGCAGTATTCCAGCTTTACTGATGGAGAAAAAATGTCAGGTGCCTCTTTGTGCATGATTTCAGGCACGAATCGACACCCGAGCTCAACAATCGACCTTTTGTAAGCAAGATGGATAGTCTACTCACACGAAATAATAAAAAAATGTATGGCTAGAGTTAAATTCACAGCGGTGAAGGGCAACTGAATCACGTCTGCTACATAAACCACATTATTTCACCCAAAAAAATCGAAATGGGAAATGCACATCTTAATAGATTGAAACATGTTTAATGATTACCGAGTTCATCAGTTTTGAGTAATCAAGTATTCATAAACAATTTGATGCCTCGCATTTAAATGTCACCAAGGCAGCTGTAACTACTTATACATACATGATCTGATTTACTTCGAAGGCGTTGTCAATAACACGTATTTTTTCATGCAGGTGTTGTATTTGGTCATAAGGGTATACTTCTTCTGTTCGGTATATTTCTATCATATGAGACTAGGAGTGTTAAATTAAAACAAGTCAACGATTCTAGATTTGTAGGGATGAGCATTTACAATGTGGTTGTAAGTATTGATTACATGTTTGATTGCGAAGTAGTTTAAAACACTCATCATTTTAATGGTAGTGTTTATTATGATTGTATAATTGCCGAAAACGGAATCTTAGCGTTTTATTGTTTCTACATCAAAGACCCTGATTCCGTATTGATAAAAGTGATTGATTTGAAGTATTTTTACTAGCAAACTATTACCAGAAAATCAATACCAAATTAAACTGTTTGATTTAAATTACGCACTTTGATCAAATGCGATTATGACATTTCCATACCAAGTGAATATTTTACGCTCGTCATTATAGAGATGTTATATGTAAACCTAGATATACTAAAACATAAACTTTAAATATACGTATCTTGTACTATAATAGAAAAGATTAGGTATTGCTGATGAACCTTTTTGGCTGTTTTTTATAATATTTTTACAATGATATTTAAATATATCTGTATTATGATAGAATTACTAATATTACTAATGATACTTATGAACTTATCTTTTAGGTGCTATGTGTTATAACGGTGCCCATAGTTTTAATAATCAAAAGTCAGCAAGATGCATCATTTGCGTTTGTTGCCTTAGCCATTATATTATGCAGTTTTCTCTCTCTTGGCTTGATCTTTGGTCCAAAGGTAAGCTTATATATGAAGCACGGATCATTTTTCGAAAATATAAAGTGATGTTTCTTTATCTTATTTAGTTTACATATGCCTTTTACATAATACTGCACTGATAGTGAGGCTAACGAAATAATGAAACAGACAGAAGAATCGTTTTTAGCTCGACTATACGAAGTATATGGAGAGCTGTTCTACTCGCCCCGGCGTCGGCGTCCGCGTCCAGATTTCAGATTAAAGTTTTGGTGCAGTAAAATATTTTTCACTATAACTTTGTTATTTCTTAAGGTATCAACTTCAAACTTCAAATATAAGTACCTTTTCATCATCCCCATCTTATGTGACAAGGTTTATAACTCTAGCACCAATATTTTTAGATTTATCTCCCCTTGAACTTAGAAGTTTCCTTAAAAAATATTAATTTTTACTGTTACTTATTTATTTCTAAAGGGATCAACTTCATACTTCAAATATATATGTACCTTATCATCATCCGCATCTTATGTGACAAGGTTCATAACTCTAGCACCAATATTGCAAGAATTATCTCCCCATAAACTTAGATTTTTTTTACTAGAAAAATGTTATTTTTTACTATAACATTTTTAGTTTTTAAAGGAATCTACCTCAAACTTCAAATACTTATTCCTTATCATCAATTACGTTTTATGTGACAATGTTCATAACTCTTGAAGCAATTTTTACAGATTTATCTCTCTTTGAACTTAGGGTTTTCTTTAAGAAATATTATATATTTTTTTACTTTTTAAGGTATCTACTTCAAACTTCAAACATATATTTCTTATCATTACACACATGTTGTGTGACAAGGTTCATAACTCTTGATCTTGATCAATTATACATAATTGATTTTTCTTTCATAGTTTTGTCCTCCTTACTGCGTCCAGTATTTTATTAGTCGAGCTTCGCTGTCTCCTGTGACAGCTCTTGTTATTTGTCTTTTAAATAAAAAAAAACAAATTTCTCGATCTTCCGGACAAAAATGTTTTAATACCAATGTCAGATGACAGTTAATTAGGAGAACGTCAGAGATATCCTAAGATAAAAAACATCTACACATCTCTTATAGAATGATTGATACAGTAATTATATGATACTGGTGCACTTTTATTCTGTTTTCTTTTTATATAACACTGTTCCACATTATAGGTGATAGAGATTTTACGAAATCCTAAGCGAAATCAACATGAAATCAGGTCATTGACAGAGTCCGTTGTTGGTAAAGAAGAAGAAGAACGTCATCAGAAACTTCTCACTGAAAATCAACAGCTGCAAGCACAGATTGCTGAGGTATGATTAGATTTGATTATAATTTGTATCAGTCAACGACTAAATATTTCATATTTACACAATGTCACGTACACACATTCTGAAGAAAAAAGTAATTGAAATTGTGTATATTTATTATTCAAATATGGATAGTTTGATTTATAATTTATGAATATTAACTCTTAGTTGAGAAAGTAGCAAATTGTAACTAAAAAGTATTTTACTCCTATTCTAAATAGTAAACCACCAGAATTGAACTAATGATAAAATATGAAGGAAGCAATTAATAAATCATATCTTCTTGATCAATAAGAACCATCCTAACAGTAACACTTTGATTAAACACAATTTCTAGCAAAATAATATATATTGGGGGCTTAACGAACTTTGGAAATAGTGCGGCTCCATGATGTTTTTATTCGTAATATTTCAATCTTAGATAACTGTTAATAAGCATGCCAGAACGTTTTTATTCACTTATCTATATATTTTTGTTTCAGATGGAAGAGAAAGTGCGAACTCTTAACAAACAATTGAAAGAGAAAATGCAAGAACGAATAAGACTTACAACTAATAAGTGTAATAACTCCAATTTGTCTGTAGATCATACATGTGTACAAAATAATAAGAAGCCTTCTACATATTCTCCATCAAAGACTGATGTTATAAAGACACCCGAGTGTATGATATCACCAGATTATTTTTCCGATTCCGGCGTACATACTTACTCTACTGTTATTCGAAGTGCAAGAAATTCGCCATCTGAAAACGAGGTTTAAAACACTGAATTGGAATAAAACATGGATATATTATGCGAAATACTGAAATCATAATGACATTTCGTTATTCAAGGCTAAACAAGTTAAAGCTGTAGAAATGCATCAGATGAAATGATGAGTGCAAAAATCAATAAACATATAATGACATACTATTTTATTATACTAAATTTTAATATTTATTATAATGTCAGACACAGGTTACAAGGTCAATCAAAATAAAGTGTTTCAGTTATAAACGCATTATCAAGACAAACTACATGGGACATACAACCGTGCAGTATTTCTAAATACAAATTAAAGGATATAATTAAGCCAAAAGCTGAGTGTTTTTTTACTATGGAAACAACTGATATTAATTCATATTTGTAAGAAAACGAATTTGCAGGAATTAATAGAAGAGTATTTACCATCGGATGTGGCTGAAATTGGTTGATTCAATAGTATTATCTATTATCGTCTTATACACATGATAATGTTTTTATTTATAAAAAAAATAAGCACATTTATAGTAATTTGATTTTATTAAATCATACACATGTTTTACCTACAAAACATGTTTGAATTCTATGATTTTAAAAGCCGAACATATTTGAAGTTTGATAAAGGCAAGTCGCCATACAACAGAATTAACAAGATCTTGGCTGTATAAGGTTGAACTATGTTTTATATATTTCAAAAATACAACATATCAAGTTTTTCTGGAATGTTGAACATAAAGTGTTTTTTTTTAAATCTCACATAAGACATAGATTAATCGGGGCTGTTGTGAAAAAAGTTTTGAATTACAACTTTTTTGTAAATTTTGAATTTGAACGTCATTATTTTTTAGATTGAGTAAACGTGACGTATTTATAAGAATTGAACGGAGTGACAATATAATTTTTTTTAAATATTATACTTTCATTAATTTTACATGTTTCCTAAAGTCATGATACGGTTCTTGTCAGCGACCAAGTGTTCTTCTTGCACACTTAGTTTTGGCTTTGACAACACAATCATAAGAAATTTAATTCCGTTAGTACTGTCAAATGGCAGGATTACATGTAAAGCTACATTCTGTGTTGCTATCTTTCTGTACGCTTATTGTCATTTGTTCATGTTATTATTATATATTCATAATTGTCAAGTCACAAAAATATCTGCTGATATCATGTATAGATAAAATAAATGCAGTAATGCTGTAATATGTAAGTTGAGTATTAATTTTGAAATAAAATTTGAAAATAAAATTCGGACATAATTTGGGTTTATTTACAAAGCCGTTCTTAGTACGGTGTAAAATGTAAAGTCAATAAAATATGAAATTATATCAATCGTTCAGAAATGGTCATAACATTGCCGTTATCGTCCATTCTAAGGTCCGCTGATCATACGATTTACGACATGCTTTTAATTCAAAAAAGTCATCATTTGATTTGAACGCGTGTGTGTATCAAGTTTTCATAACAAATTTACTGCCGTTTTTAAATATCAATAAAATAACAAGAAGTGCAACCCGCAATAATAATTTCTTAAATAAAATTGTAAAGTTGGTTACTGTTTATAGAATTGTGTGACAAACAAAATATTCATGATCATACTTCAGTTCTTGAACAGGAAATCCAATTATTTAACAAAATCAAACGCGAACTAAACAAATGGAAAGCAATACCATGGAACCGATCCTTTCGTGCAAAGCTAATTTAAAATCTGATTTAATCATGTTATCCAAAGTGTATTGGTATTTTGTTTGCAATAAATGTACTTGTATTAATTTCCTGTACTTGAAAACGTAAAATAAGAAATCGTGCTTTGGGTTATGATTATAAATACGCTCAATAAGTCGTGACAATGGTTTCTAACACATCATCGGACAGGCCATTCTATTCTTAGAATATTTGTTTGTTGATATAATATTGAAAATATATTTATGGTATTATTATAAAACGCTTATTTAGATATAAAAGTGTTGTCAACATAAAAATCATTTGATTTGAGAAATAGGACATGTAAAGATTTGCAAACAAGATCCAAAAATATTTTGCTAGCCGTCATTGTCTATACAACGGGATTTAACAGACAAGGTCGGCGATAATTGCACATAAAATAACCTTTGTTAGAATGGAACCTTAATTCAGTACTTAATATTCATTCTAAAATATGTTAACCTTACACATTATTTAATATTCCGATAGATTCCAATTATTCAAGTAATATCTTGATTTATAATAGCGTTCAAAAAGCATCATATACTACAAGTGCGACAAATGTCGACCAGCTGGCGTATCCCTGTTGCATTTTTATGTCCGTCATTCATGTTTTTAATTCTTACCTTTATATCATGAATGTCGTCGTCAAAATTGACAAGGCCAATTAAGAAGTAAGTTTGGTAAGGGTTTAAAACTATTATGGTATTTGTTGTTTGTGGCATTTGCTCTAAGCAGGAGAAAAAATTATCCATAAAATGTGAATCTCCCATTAAAGGTGAAATTGAGAAATTGTGGTAATGAAGTTAATTCACTCAATGTGTGAGATAAATAGGCAACTATATCCGTTTATTTTGTATTAGGCATCCGCTATTCATGGTACATTGTTACTATTACAATAAATAGATTTACTATAAACCAATAGTGCAATTCGTTTCAGGAAACATGTATTTTGTGCCAATAAAATGCTAAAATTATTCAAATGTTGATGTGTAAAATGTTATCACATTCTCGAATAAAAATATGTAATGCTTCTTATGCCTGACCCATTTGGACGCACTTTTCTCATGAAATAATTTCCAGACTTCCTGTACAGTTATATATCAAATAAAAACGTAATCAACTTAACACAAAATAAGCATATGCATTTATCAAAAGAAAATTCAAAAATTAAACTGATCATGTTTCTACCAGCAACCCAAGCAACCGCATTGATAGTTTCAATTTTATATAAAATATAAAATAAGATGACCGGGACTTAACCTGTCCGTCAAATACTATCTTTATGGTTGAATAATTATCTTTTAAACTATTTTAAGTGGTGTGACGGATGTTGTACTTTTTCACACAGGCAGACTAAGTCTTGTTAAATCGAAACTGCAATTGCCTGCCGCCTTATTGTTTCTTTATTTCCACTGCTAATGAATGATTTCTACTTTTCTCGAATTTAAATGAATACAAAATTGATTTTTCCTGACAGAATGAATTCTTTCAATTAAGATAAAAATTCAAATCAACTGCATCTATTGCATGTATTGTTGAATACGATTCTGAAATTGTAATTCATGCTTTTACCGTGTGACATTTTAATTAAATCCTCGTTCAATTGCACCGCTTATCCTGGCATATATTCAAAAATATGTGAAGGGGGAAATTAGTTTTCAAGAGATTACCTTTGTACATTTTCAGATATCCCTTTCAACGCAACATGGGTATGAAATTAGAAACGATACAAATAATTGACGAATACAAAGAGTTTTTATATAACATGTCCAGTCAAATGAAGTACCTTAACGATTTAAGGACCAGGGACCCCTGGTCGCTTGTCCTTAATGCTGGGCGGTGTTGGGGTTGCGTTCGTTGAACGCCGATTTTCCTTGTTCATCTTGTTTATCATATTTTTTACTTTTCTTCTTAATCGCAAGGGAATTATGAGTAAATGTTGGTAGGGAAATGTTAATCTTAATAATTGCAAATACATGTATCAAATGATAAGGATACATGTATTTCTTTATGTTAACTTGCAATATTAGCTAAGACTTATAATCTTGATCTTTTTTCCTAATTAATTTGACAATTTTTAATGACAAGTAATATATACTTTAAATGGATTTTTCTGCAAATAAATTCCTTATTCTTATAATAAAGTACCAGGTATTTTCCTTCCGAGACAAAGGGCTTAGAATATAATGATTCAATTTCCTGTACATTCTTATAATAAACCAACGTTAATGTTTGTGTATACTTTGTTTCTATATGACACGACTTGAATAAGCGGCACTTCTAAACAGTTACCTGTGCTGACATATATAAAATGTAACATAAATTTACATTTAATCAGACGGTTTGTTCTGTTAATACAATTTATATTATTTTTTAACAATCCAGTTAATTTTACAAAAGACTGTTGTTTGTACAATGCTCATTTATTTTTTTCTTTCGCCTACCATTTTTAGAAACATGACGGTCATTGACTTAATTAGAAAAAAAAATTAAGTGATAACGAATAATATGTTAGTATCGGGAAAATTCGGCTTAGTCAATGTGTATGACTGTTAAGTTGATACAGTTAACTTTGCTGACAAATATAAAATGTTGTGTGGAAAATGCGGCCTTGTTTATGTGTATAACTATCAAGATGATAAACTGTTATCATTGGTTCATCGGGATCAAGAAGGAAGTACAATTATATCAAGATAATCATATCATCTTATCAAATATACTGGGCAACAATATGCAGAAAAGATGTCATTAGATATTTCAGATTCCAAAGCAATCCTTTAAGGTCGATCAGCATATCATTGTTGTGGTGAAATTAGTTCCTTCTGTTTGACAATTTTTATCTTGAGTGGATCTTGGATACTGTAATAATCACCCTTAAGATATGTTGCCTGTTTTTAAAATTTGTCGTTTGACGTCTTGTATGTAATATGCAGGTTTCATAAATTCAGACCCCCTTTCAATATTCCATTTCCTTTAGTTTATTTTATTGATTTCTGGTTATGCGCACATGTATTGTTTTAAACTGGGACCAAACGCCGCTTTTCATGGAATGATACGAAGGTTTCACATTGAGGATTTCATAAAAAAACGACAATATTAACACAGGAACAGGCTATGTCAAACCGAGTCTGCAACATTTACAGTTTTGTCCTTTCGGGCGTTCTTTATGGATTCTGTTCTCGGTTAACAGCGCATTTAATCTTCATTTAATGAACTGCATTTCTTCGTATACTGAAACAACCGTATATACTCTCAATCTTAATATTTAACATGAATCTACAGCATGTCCGTACTATTGGCGAAACAATAACAAAGCCGTTCTCCGAAGAAAATATATTTCTAGAAGAAATGTTACATGATTAGTTTTTCCCCCACAGGAATAAAAAGTTGTATCGTCATATTTTCCCCCAAACGAATATTTGTCTTTGAATGAAGATATATATCCTTATGTGATTTGATTATGTTATTAAATAATGGGAATAACATAAGCAGTCTCTGAAAATATCTTTTTTATACATAACACTGAACTATGAACATTTTCTCCGATGTCCTTTACATTGGTTTTAGATAAAGGTTTAATTAATTACTTAACATTTTTCAGTAATTGCAATGATTATTTTACAAAATCATTATCAAAGAAAAATCTGACAGTGCAGGCCAAAAAATGAAAACAAAAATTAAATTAAACAAAATAACGAAATAGGAAACAATAAAATAAAAAAAAAGAAATGCACAAGAATGCATAGAAGTATTGCGTTGACCATCATTTTTACTATCTAAAGTCAATGCGAAGCTTGTTCATACTGACTATCATCTTATTAGGGAGATTTGGAGCATGTAACGCCAAATAAGTTATTTTCGCTTTGAATTTTTAAAGATGCTTTATGGAATATGTTTAGTACAATAAACATGTCCAGGTTTTATATTTCTCTGTATTTTTGCACTTTCTTGGAAAAAAGTAAAACTTGCGGCTTATAATAGGAAATATAGGTATCCATCTGGAAAAGAAATGTCAGACGAAGGCAATGTCAAATTTATTTATCTATCTTCTGTTAATGTCGCGGGGACGTATACATGTCTGCGCGTCATAATCGTCAGTGTTTTTTTAACTCTTAACCTGTATCAGAATAGTTTTCCGACTTTATCACAAAGTCGTAGATATAAACATACAAGCAAAGGTTCGATAATATTGTAAAGATCAGACGTGATTCATTAACGTCTGAATAAATGAAAATTTATGTCTATTGAAATGTGTAGTGGTAAAATATTGATGAATTTCTGTCATATACACTTATCATCTTTATATACTTTTTTGTCTGGTTTTCGTAAGAGTAAATACATTCTCTTTGCTCCTAGCATGTGCACAACGTTGAAACAACGTTGGAAAGGGGTTAGATTTTAACATTAAAATAACCATTGAAACAAAGTTACGGTTAGATTACTAAAGAAGAGCACCGAACGTGATTTACCATACACTATCGCTTTACATTGATTGATTTATTTCAGCACACAATTTGTTTTGTTCATTCACAGT